TTTCTTCAACAAGTCAACCGAAACTCGTTGCAGACGTTGACGCCTTCAAATTCCATCCGACAGAGAGGTGTATTACGCTGGTTCCATTCATCCGGGAAGCCATCGCTCTGCGTCATTTACCCGTACAGATACAGGGTTCTCAAGCAATGAGGACTTAAAAATTGACTCCTGGGCCGATCTCCTATGAATGCGTCTGAATTGACGAACAGCCGTTCTCCGGAATCCTAAGTATCTTATCGAGTTCGATATCGTTAACTCTGAGTATGATGAGGCGACGGAGCGACGAAAGACAACACGTGCATCTGTTCGTCATCCGTTCTACCTATTTATGGACAGATCAAGTCGAAAATTAATATCTCGGTTAAGTTTCGGCGGTTTAGGTTACTCATTATATCTCCGAATCATGTTTCGGCGGCTCTTGCGGACCCGGACGACGACGACGTCGACCAACAAGAAGACAATCGCCTTAAAGATCAGGATCCGTCTGTCTCTAGCAGTGGCGTCCACAGGATTCTTCTTGGGGGGGGGGCCTAGATCGGGTCCTCGCATGGGGCTGATTTCCAACATGGCGACCCGCTCCTATATCTTAGCATTACGAACTCTCAATCTGGGAGGGGACTATAGCCCCCTAGCCCCCCCTCTGCGGACGCGCCTGGTCTCTTGCCCCGAAGAAGTGCATTCCCCAACGACGACGCGAGATATTTGTATTTTGCAGGAAGGAGAGAATCATGTCGTAGACGCTCAATACGACGCCAAGGCATAGGCTTACGCCGGCTACTAGTTGTCGTTCACGAAACATCTGTATCCGGAAGGATCGTACGTAGTGATGCAGTCTTCATGCGAAATGGACACGAGCGTGCGTGAGCAAATATGTTCTGTACGGGGACGTGTCGCTCACTGAGACGGACGCGGTACCCCTGGGTCGCTCGACGCGGCGACAAACGAAGTCCAGAAGAAGTGCGTGTGAAAAGCCGGGGGCTGCGTTCAGCATTGACAAACTTTCGTTCGGAACGAAGTAGATCGAGAGATAAGAACTTGCTGGCGGAACATTTGTGGCAGAATTTCGATGTGACGACGAAAAACTTCCAATGAGACACGTTCATTGATCATGAGCCTAATACAGGGCTCTTCGGCGGTCGTCCAATCCGCGATTTTTCTCTAAGCGCTCGAGGCTATCCGTATGCTCGACTCCGTCGACTGGACCAAACGACGCGTTGACGCATGCTTTATTATTGTTGTTGTCATTCGGCCGGGGACATTCAACGTTGTCCGGTGGAGGTCCCTTGGAGGAGGGGACAATTACTCGACAAGCCACAGTTGGGTGAGCCAGTACAATCGACTTGGAGAGTTTCGGTTGAGATACAACGAATCCGAAAAGGACAACGGAATGGAGAAAGAGAAGAAGAAGAGAACGACAGCCATGAACATCGTTGGGCTTCGAATATCATCAGCCACAGCGGCAGGTCCGCGGGCGCGCGGCCGGTCAAGAGGCAAAGCGACGACGACGACAACGGGAGTTTACAGCGAGCGCGGTCGTTGAAGAGGTGAGAGGAGGATTGGGCGGGAAAAAATGCTTTCATTGCCTCGACTTCACAGTTAGAATGTTTTTTCGAAGCTTTCAGCCGAGCGAGTCGATTTGAGGTCGATCAGACGTCGACCCGAAGTCGAGGAGAAAGCGTCCGCTCCTCATCCGTATCCCCCTTTGCGTCATTTCCGACCGCTAAGTGCTGACGAAACAAATTCAGTGCGGGGTGGAAATCCGAAGTCGAATATCTCGAGAATGCATACGAGACGATACCGAAAATGAGTCGGTCTTGGCATAAGTATCCAGAAACTGAGTGTCATTTTAGTTTCGTGATAAGTGCGCGTAAGTCCGAGCCGCCGGATCGAGGAATGAACGGAATTCGATCTGTTCACCCGCTGTTGGATACCAGAAACGTATCGACCGACCGACCGACTGGCCGACCGGCCGACCAAGCAGTCAAGCGAGCGACAAGGAATGTCCTTCTGTAATCTTTCCCCGATGCTGCAGTTGTTTAATTTGGCGCCATTTTCAACGGGGCGGCAGCAGCTTCGCGATTCGCGACCATCTACCGGATAGTGCTTGGTCGATGCCCTTATTTGACCTTGGAAGAAGAAGAGCTGGCCGCCACTTCATCATTCTGGCATTCATGGACTCGTTATCCTTTCTTCGGCGCGACCGACTCATCGGACGGGAACAATGGCCGTGTTCCTCCCAGAAATGGCAAATTTCCCGAAAGCTCCCGCCACTGTATCCTGTGTCTTGTCAACGGATCCTTAAAAGAATCGAGCTCCATTCAATAGAATCAACCGTGAGCGATGGGACCACGGAGCAAGCCACGGACAAGAAAGACCATGGTTCATTTTCCCCAGGAATGCCGATATCTCGTGACTATCCCTCATGACTGATTTGATGAGCACTTTTGGTAGATAAGCGGCAAGTATAACCTCTCGCCGATGGTGGAGCACTGAGAACCAGAAGAAGATGATGAAGAAAGAGAGGAACCGAAATCCCACAAGAACCAAGGGAAGGACTTCGTACGGAACGAGCAACAAAGAACGCGGAGTGTAGCTTCGTGCCAAGCTCACGGGAGTGTGAGCGTATTGCTCAACGAATCTGTGGGGCACCGCTGTCAGAGACCTTTCAAACGAGAGCCCTCACGGGAATGACTGTTGCTACGAGAACGACGTCGCCGGCGACGAGAATGACGTCGAGCCGAGCAGCATCGACCACGACAACAACCGACACCTGCGCCAGATGGGCTGACTCACTTAGAAGAAGATGGCGGTAGGTAGGTTGTAGGGGAAGCCCCACCAGGCCGGTCAGTATGTGACTGGGCACAGGTGGAATACCCTTTCTCCGCGCAGAAATTTTGGGAGAGTCAGTGGTGTGAGCCTTCGTTTTTATCGTTCGATCCTCTATCTCCGCAGGGACTTGTCGACTCGGAAACTTTTCGAGTATAGAACACTTAAGTTCAGAAAGCTTGTCGGACCGTCTGTCTGTCCGTCGGATCGCTCCTTGTCAGTAGTCGTCAGTCAGAGACTCCATCGTGTCTCCAGCAACGGTGACAAAAATTCTTCCGTAATAGCAGCGGACAAGTGAACGAACACACGGTGTTCATGGGGACGCATACGTCAAAGGTGTTCCACTCTTTACCTGAGCCCGCAGTGACGGTTCCTGATTTCAACAACGACTGCGTCAACGAAAGCGCCACCAACGCCCGGCACCAAACCGCAGACATGCCGTTCATGGACAGTAGTGTGACATCGGCGACGGCAGCAGCACCAGCGGAAACTGTCGCCGCGGCCTAGACAAAGAACAGGACGATCATTCATCAACATCACGGATTTGAGCACTCGCTCGAATATTCGGCCGCTCGCCGGAAGGCGGAAAATACTTTTCACGGCAATATATGGTTATAATAATGGGATGTCCGAAATAGATGGAATCGTTCACCGAAATAGGTGGGATCCCTGAAACTCTGTGGCCTGAATGAGACGAACGGCAGGCGATCCGACTCCTGACCGACGTGGGTACTGGTCGGGTGATCTGCTCGGACCGGGAGCCCCGTCAGCACACCAGAGTCCAAAATAGTCACTGGATTAGATGGCCGTCCTGCGAGTCCTTCGCATTTACGCGGAGGAGCATAAAATATAAGATAAATTGCGAAATTTGTCGCCCATTTCCGGCACTTTCAAAAATTCCCTTCGAACCATTCGCCCTAGCGAATGACACTCGCTTGCTTTCACTCCCGTGAATCGTTAGGCGACAAAACGCTCGTGGCTGCATTGCGCAAAATTTGACAATAAAATCCGAAAGCTCATCACGGCTTCCATTCGTGCGCCAGACGCTGACAGAAGTCCGTGTGTGTGTACAGTTACTGCAAACTCGGTGCTCGTCCTTGTCCCCGGCGGAGTTTTGAATAATAGTTTCATCCGCGCGCTGACCATAGCACATAGTGACCTTCAAATATCTGCGACAGATGAAATGTATCGGTTCCGTCTTGAGCTCTCATACGGCAACGACAACTTACGAGACGATTCGGTCGTCACATTCCTCGTCGGAATCCACAGAAAGCCGGCTCCGTATCGGGGAATCATCCCGAAAGACGTTCGTTACTCGTCGTGGGATCGACGAGAAACACCAGATAGCCCGTCTCGACGTCTCAGGAATCAGACGGCGATCTGATAATTAATAGAAATAAAGAGAGGGATTCTCACGGTTCATAGCTTATATAATCGACGTATGCCGCACAGGAGCCTGCGAGGGTCGCTGTCTGTGTTATTTTGTATTATTTTCTCATCTTGACCGTTGAGGAGGGTTTTTCCCAGACCCTCCGATCGCTCGTTGTTTCGTTCCTCGTCTTCCCTAAATTGCCTTCATCCGTTTGACATCGACACTTGACGACGACGCACTGAAAATCGATGCTTTCGACGTTTTCTGATCGACATCTGAAGTTTCTTCTTCTTTTCTCCTCGATATCTCGCGACGATGCCTGCTCGGAGCTGCTATCAACGGGAACCTACGCTCGCCGCATCCACGGATGTGGAGTGTGGTCGGCGCGGAGAAAAAACTATTTGCCGGGCGGAGGAACTTCCTCAGGAAATTTGAGGTAGGTACGTGATTCCGTCGGTTAGTGATTTCGATGTTCAATCACTGAAACGACGAAATCCCTCGAGAGACGGTCCATCCAGGAGATTTGTTTTGATATTCTTGAATCAATTACATTACCGTCGTCGTCGATTCCATTTGTCAAGTGACAGAATGCTCGACGGCTCGACCCACGGCGACACAGAATAGATTGGAGTTCCAGAATTTACACCGATCCGAATCGAATCGCATTCCTGCACAGGGCTCCAGCGTTATGCGCTGCTTTCCTATCTCTCGTTCGGTCTCTCGATTTTTCGGGGTTGCACGGCCCGTGGAAGAAAAACTGCCCAAATCAAAGTTTCGTCTCGCCTCTGCAATATTTACGTACCCAGGAGCTGCATTTGATACTCGGCAATTGATTCCGAGATTAGACACTGGCCATCACAGAAGCACAAATCCATTTTCGGAGGCGATCGTTCTGCTTCACCTCCTTCACTTTTCTGAATGACAGATCCGCTCCGGGAGCTCGGAGCGAGTTGCGAAGCCTCCTCCATGAGTTCCCGTGAACACTTCAGAGCTGGACACACTGAGACATGTATTGCCGGCAAATCGGTCGGCGTCGGTCGGTCGGGGCCGAATCGAGAGAACCCGCTGATGAGATCCGGCCGACTTCGAGCCCTCGCCGCGTATTCCGAGCTTCACATTGTCGCGCAGATGTTATTTTCTGCAAATCAAAACCGAGTTCGGAAGCTCGATGTTCCGATGTTCGTGGCTGTGCCGGTCCTTTGTTCTTCTCTGCGCTGCCATTAGAGACAGAGTGAAACTCTTGCGTTCCATCTCCTCACACACAAGCGATCTCCCAACAGCCGCCAGCCAGCGAACCAGCCACTCTCACAGATGGCTACAACATGACGACGATGACTCACGGCTCAGAATACTGAATCGACCTTTCATTGAATATAGAAGTGGAATTGTTTATGCTGGACTAAGAGTGTGTCCCAGGCATTTAATGATCGCAAGGCGAGCCTAATTGCAGCCAATCAGGAGCGCAGGCTTCCAGCTCCACCGGAACGCTCCAAACGACGTTCCGTCGGGCACACCTCCTAGTTCACCTCGTTTGAAACACTCGAGAAGTGAGTCCGTCTGCTCCATTACTATGGCAACTGCGCACTCTACGGCGACGGCATGCTCCGCACACATGTTCGACGACTACACAGACGACATTTTGCATTTGAACTTACGACACTGAGCCAGAGATAATCGACCTTGTCGCTCCCTGCGTGCGCCTGCTTCAGACTCCTTCTTCGAACCGGAACGTTCTGCCTCGATTCAGTCCACAATTCGGTCAGAAGACGAGAGCAGCGACGTTTCATGTCCTTCGAGCATAAAGTCCTGCAGCGAGCTGCCCGCCTGCCCACTGGCCAGCCTGCCGAAATTTCCACGCATGGTCGTAAACGCTATCGCGATGGTCTCCAGGATCGCGGGATTCTTTGACCCTTAGTCGCTGATGGTCGGTTTAATGTTCGCGCGATGACATAACGGTTCAGTCACGAAGAATGAACGGCGACGGCTACTCTCTAAAGGAGTACTATATGAATGTTCATCGTTTTTCCTTTACTTGGGAAGAGCACATGATGCCCTGCCGGTGGACCTGCGATGTCTTCGTGGCTTCGATGGATGATCGCGACACCACGAATGCGAACGGCTGCGGGTGACCGCGAGTTCGTATCGGTAGAAATTCCCATCGATGTCTGCCCCGTATTCTTCGTCACGAGGCTAAGTAACACTCACACGCTACATATCGGCGGCAGAAATCGATCTTCTGAAGCTTTTTCGGTAGTTACCGAAAATCGGTTCGTGATGCCCAGAGACGGCTTCTCGGAACCAAATGGTGAGGACAGACCAGAAGATGTACCAATGTTTCAGGAACCAGCAGCGTTCTCCCTCAAATTGACATCAACAGCAGTTCTCCTTGGATTCCCGACACCTTTCCGAGCCTCACGGACCGACGAACTTGACCGAAAAAAAGGCACCGGCCTTGGATTGGACTTCACTGTCCCACTCTACGAAGCGCCAAGGAAGCCTCTGCCGGTCAGCCGATCTCTTCGAATGGAAGAGAATACTTCGACAACACGAAGTGTAAAAATCGAGACCGCCTCCACCTCAGAATCAGGCGCGGAACAGAGGAGAATCCTGTCCATGAATTCGGCAGTGCGAATCGCTCGGCTTCTCAGCGAACCATTCACCATTTATGTACTCTGATGAAACGCCGGGCACAACAGAAGTCGTACAGCTCTTCATATCCGGACGGAAGACCAGATGTCGGAAACGTGTTGCCTTAAACACTTTCCGGAGTGTTTTTTTGTCGCCATCAGAAATTCCTGATGGAGCCGATGTCGAAAGGGAGATAACGACTCTTTTACGCTAATGAGAATAGAGAAGAATACTCCTCCGAATGACAGTCACTTCAAGGAGGAAGGTCTCGCAGCGGACGTAAATAGTCGAGATCACTACTTGCGTTTTCCGTCAAGGAAGCCAATTATCTCTCGGTCGTTGTTTTGACCCCGGATTGTGAAGAGATTCAGACCGGAGGTGATGTCGTCCGGAATTCGTCGCTGGCCCTCCCAGGACTCTATCAGATGAATCGGGCTTCATTCTGTGAACTCCGATTCTGTGCTCTACGATAAGACATCGAACTCATGAGAAAAGGCAAGGAGGTATACTCCTCCAAATCACCAGCTGACTCATGGAGTATTCGTAGGATGTCAGCCTTGTTGTCTGTCCGGCTCTGCCTCGAGTGGGCTCATGCTCTCCGACGGACATGTCTATCAGAGAAGCGGGGATAGAAGAAATCAGCCGCTGCCTCGATATGGAGGCCCACCGTCTGATTGCTATAAACTCCAAAGTCCGTGGATGAGATTTCCCCATCCGATTCCAATAGTGTTCATAGAGTACCCTCAATTTCCTTTTCGAACGGCTCTAGCAGCCCCGCATTGTTTATCAAACGGCTCACGTCCGATCAAGAGGCCCGAGTTGAAAGTGAAGACAATCGAGCAAAACATTTTTTTTCTACGCCCGCGACTACGGCACGGCGTCCGTTTGCTCGAATGAATCCGTGATTTCGTCCCTGGTCGCCTTGAATTAAGCTTGCGCCACATTGAATTCCGGTCACCAAAACGCCGCCGTGTCGCACCCATGGTAGCTCACGTGCAGCCGCAGGTCACTTTGCGGACCCAGGAGATCGGACAAGCTTTTTTCCAATCCAAACTTCCAAGGCGTTGGTCTAACGGTCGTCGCCTGTTCGACGAGCGGCCTGCGTAGATTCGTCTGATCCGTCGGTCGCCCCGGCCCGGCTTCGATTGCGGTGCTGGCTGGCCCGCGGCATCACAGTACCGTCAGCGAATCATTCCCAATATTCCTTAACGAGCACATTGCACAAAAATACCGTTCCGCGCACGAAATATACAAGAACTCATTGATTGTTTGTGTAAAAATCAGGAATGAAGTGGCGTGAACACGTACTGGAATCGCAACTTCGGAAAACAAGGATCATTTTTCCTCGCATTTTTTCGTCCCGACCCCGACAGGGACGCAAACAACGATTGGGTGTTTTTTCGTCGTTGACGCTGCCACTATCATTATTATTATTATTGATGAAATAGGCTATCCATTGTTGTATTTGTTGAACAGTTCTGTCGAGGTTGTCTCTGGTGGCGGCGGTGACTTGTTGGTGGCGTCAGAAGACCCTACGAGTTTTGTTGCGCAACAAGCGGAATCCATTACGGTGTTTCATATTTCTTGCTGTATCGATCAGGGCTCGAACTCTCCGAAATTATGGAGTTTGAACCACACGCGGTAACAGTCGTGCTCGTGAGACATTTATCTCCGCGACCGAAATTATAGTCATGAGTGGCATAATGATCGTCAGAGCCGCAGTCTAAGAGTACAGCAGGACTAGATATTTCATCGAACGTATTTCGATGAGAACGACTACGCCAAACTCTCAAGGTGAGAGACGAATGCCTACTCTGTGAGACTAAAGGCCTTGGTTGGTACTGAACTCAGAAGTCTGACATTCGTCCGATCAAGCCGGACGTCATCGTGTGGTCCGGTGAGAAGAAAATGTTCCGATAAGCAGAAATTCCGGGACCTTCTTTAATCCGATAATAGCATTTTCTCATATCCACCGCGAGATAAGCGGAATTGTTTGAGATATTCGCGAAACTCGAGGCCAAACAGCGGATTACAGGTTGGCGATGCATGAACCAACTAATAATGATACACTGATCGATCGATCACTCATCCCTCATCCCTCTCAATTACTCGAACGCCTTGAACCATCCCGTCCAGGAATCCACCATCGAGTCACTACGTGCGAATAACCGAAGTCGGACGTTTTCGTCCGGTCGGGACCGTGGTCCGTTTCTCGGCTCTCCCATCATGTGTATTCATCCCTCCTCCCGTTCAGACCGAGAGAATGTTCGGTCTCTCAAAGAGATGATTTCACCACAGAATATACACAGAGATTTCAAGTGTAGGTGTCAGCCGACAATCCCCAATGTAAAATCATTGACCCGCTCGGATGGAGGCATTCCTGGGGGCATCTGCTGCGGACTCACGAAAAGGGAAAAACGAACACGAATCCTCAGGGCTACGGATCGAGTCAAGCGACGTGCGCTCGAGGAATTGACGGCGACGCTGGTCGGAAATCTGCTTTCGCTCGTATACAAGTTGTCATGGCGAGAAACCCACTTGGAGCTCGATTTGCTTCCGTGATCGCTACACGATCCCTGTATACGGCAGCGGATTCCAGAGGAAGAGAGTCGACTGACGTCAAGTGGAAGACGCAAGTCACTCTGATGGCCATCTCCGCAACTACTTGTGTATACTTCATTAGCGACTTTATTCAGAATACAATCGCACAAGCAGTGCAATGCCAATCTCGTCACCGATGCGCATCGTCCCCATGTGATTAGCATGCCAATGTTTTTGAAGTTTCACTGCGCGCGCTGAAGAAGCCGCCGCCCGTCAGATCACGTAACCCACTGTAAGCTAGCGAGAACAAAAACAACCACATGACAAAGGAGCAGTAAGTAGCATCACCGACGGCACCGTCGACAACAGCGACCATCACAACGAAATTGAGGTTTCGCGAACGAGGCGCGCGGAGAGCCTTTCTACCGCGATCATCCGTCTCGGGGTTCGCTCTCACCACTTCTGAGAATTAGTAATTGATTGCAGACGATACTTCAGCAACTATCGGCGCGTCCGCCGAAGCTGCCGATGCAGGCTGCGAAGGTTAAGGTGAAACTTGCCGAAAACACTTAATCGTTCCTACAATAAACAAGCGATGGAATGTTTCGATACCGATGGCAAACCTTGGCGATACGGGCAATAATAACGGGAATATTTCCATTTCTCCACAGCGTAACGATGAAAGTGAGCGGAATTAATATTTTCCGTAGAAAAA